AACGACATCAGAAAATCCCCTGCCTGAATAGATGTCAGGATGGACTTGAGAGTTTCCATCCTGAATGTCCTGTGACGAATGAATTTGTTCAACCATTTTAGATCTAAAATGGCTCTCGTGGACCTGTTTTTCTTTGGCACCATGAAGAAAATGGAGTAGGCGCCCTGTCCCTGCTGGAATGAAGGCACCTTCTCTATTGCCCCTGTGTCTAAGAGATGGAGGTTCCAGTGGCGAAGCCAATTGTTCCTCCATGCCGTTACACTGCATGCCAAGGCCCTGGCAGACAGTCGAAACACATCCAGGGTAGCATCTACGGTGAAGGCAATCGCCAGGGAGATTTTCTTTAACTCGTCCTTAAATTCCTTAGGAACCCCGCTGCCAGCCGATGCTATGCTTTCAGCCCAGTCGTACGCTGCTCTTGCGAACAGGGAGCCTGCCATAGATGCCTTGATGGCCGAAGAAGCGGCTTTAAAATTCTTATGGAGTGCCTGTTCCCCACACGGTCTCTATCCGTATACGGTCTATCCGTATGGTCTTTAGGCATCCCATCTGCATCCACCAGCAGCACTGAATTTTAATACAAACTGGTAACAGGATCATCCACGACTGGTAATTTAAGCTTCTTCGTGGCCTCTGGCATCAGGGAATAGAACTTGGAGAAAAGGTGATTGTTAGCCTTGGGTTTTGCCCGTTGCCCCTACTCCACTTTCATTATGTTATAAAAGGAGGCTGGAAGCGGCAACCCTGGCTGTGTAACTGCTAGCTTTGGCATCAGTTTTTTCTCTCCATTCTGAAATTCCGATTCCTGTTCAGCCTCTTCCTTAGGTCCAGACTTGAGATCTAGGGTCCTTAGCACTTTAGGCAAGAGACGTGAGTATAATTCCTGTGGGAACAGTCTGGATTGCACCGCTGGTACAACCTCCTCTTCTTCCGCAGAGAGTTCTCCTTCTTCCTTTTCTGAAGAGGTAGAAGAAGAAACCTCTGGATCAGACTCTACATGATCCAGCAGAGGACTTTGGTCCCTGGATGAAGACCTGTGTCTCTTGGGTTTAGGCCTGGCAGGCGACAGAGAGGTGCTTGCTGTTCTATCTCTGGGTCTTTTGAGCGACCTGCCCCTTCCCATAGAAGAATCATCTGGGGTAGAGCTCAGTAGAGTTTCCTTAATCATCTCCTTGAACTCACGCTTCATCTCTCATTGGAACCAGTTAAGCATGTCATCATTAATGGATTCCCTGGATTCTGCTGCTTGGTTATCCATGGGAACTTGTGGTTCCTGTGAATTAGTAGGCCTGAATGGAGTAGCTTCCCCAGAGGCACTGCCACCATCTTGCACACAGCCTGGTACTGTCTTCTCAGCCATTAGACTGGACCTGTGGGGGGGGGGTTAGGGGGAATGAGGCTAGCTTTAGGTGCTATACCCAAGACTCCCTCCCCCTTATATATATAAAATTGTCCTGAGACATCCATCTGAGGGTTGGGCAAACCCCCCTCCCATTCTCCAATAGGGTCTGGTCTGTTCCGCCCTGCTCCTCAGAGCTTAGAGGAAGAAGACAATAGGCCTTAGTGCTGGCCTAGATGGAGACAAACATGGTGGACACCATGTTTTCCTGCCTAAAAGGCTTCCCGCCTGCAAAAGTAAAAGTGAAACTCATCACTGGGCAAGTAAAACCTTCCCCCCCTTCACTTTTCCTCTTGAGAAAGCAAGTTAGGAAGGGCTATAGCTAGATCTCCCCCTCCCCCTGGAGTCTCCTGGGGCTAGCGGAGATCCATGGCTCGTTAAACCTATCTCAGCCTCAAGCACGCCCGGGGTGGAGAAAACACAATCCCCCCCTTTAGCGGCTTGATTTACCGCGATGCAGGTGAGGTGTTGGGAGATGGTTGATTGCCAATCCGTGCCTCATCCTGGAAGGTGCTCTGTGATGTGTGGGAAAGGAGGGGGGAAGACCGAGAAAAACGAAGCCTCCATGCCTCTTGTTCTCCACGCTCCCTGGCTCTTGGGAGCAGGCCCTCCGCCCGAGGATGGGTAAGGCCAGCAGGAGTGCATCCCAAGAGGGATTGTTGGAGCTCCTCAGCCACCAGGCGCCGCATTGGAGCCCTCTCAAGAGCCACCGAAATTCGCGCTTCCCACGCCGCGGCTCCGATCGTTCTTCTTTCTTCTTTCATTTCTATTTCTTGCTAGCTGCTTTATGCAGAGCAGCTGGAGCACGTCCTGCTACAAGCAGGGCCAGCAAGAAACTGGATCGCCTGCAAGGGGATAAGCCCCTCCCCCACCTGGATCAAAGTTGGAGCCAACCCTGCGGAAGGAGGAGGGGCTTATCCTAGACGTGAGGAATGTCCCACGAAGAACCACTAAAGAAAGGAAACAACTGAATGGGGGAAGGTGCTCAAAATATTGCAGCATTTCTGCTAGGTGTATGAAATCCAGATCTCAAAAGATGACATAAATAGCAATGGGCCAACTTAACATTCTTAAGAACAAAGAAACATGATCATATTTTGGGTGCAATTTAAAACTGCATTAAGAACTAGACCAGGAATCAAAACTACATTATTCCTCAAATTTAATTATACGATAAACCACTGCTGTGATTTGCTCATTCATTGCAAACCACTGTATGGCTGTTATGTTTCTACAGGAAGGAAGAGTACTTGAAATGCTTTAGAATTAACATTTATGTCCAATGCCCTTGTATTGAACGCATCAGGCACAAGGAAAGAGGCTTTGCAAGGTCCGTGCTTGTTTTATGTCACTGATCATGTGAATATTTATATGTGTGTGTGTGTGTGTGTGTATGGTGTACACAATATAGAACATCAACATTCGCTTTACATAAACTATAATAATTTCACATACAAAGTTAACGATATCACATACATATCAAATGACCAACAAGGCCACATGCATTTCGGCCTCTAGGGCCTTTCTCAGTGGTCAGTAATATATGCTATTTCCAAAAGACACACATTCACAAGTTAATATATAATTCCAGACCAGGTGTTCCTTTCTTAAAGCAGTCTGATATTCAAACCTTATGTTTTTAATCTTTGCCATTGTGTACAACATATAATAAATATATATTTTGATGTTTTATTTGAGGTAGCTTGAAACTTGAAACTTAACATAAAAAAAAACTAAGATCATGGCATCCTGCCCTATCACTCCTTGGAAAATAGAAGGGGAAGTCTTGGAAACAGTGACAGACTTCACGTTCCTGGGATCCAAGATTACCGCAGACAGTGACTGCAGCCATGAAATTAAAAGATGCCTGCTCCTTGGGAGGAAAGTGATGGCTAACCTAGACAGCATGATAAAAAGCAGAGACACTACACTGCCAATAAAAGTCCACATAGTCAAAGCAATGGTATTCCCAGTAGTAATGTATGGCTGCGAGAGCTGGACCATAAGGAAGGCCAAGCGTCGAAGAATGGATGCTTTTGAATTATGGTGCTGGAGAAGACTCTTGAGAGTCCCTTGGACTGCAAGGAGATCAAATCAGTCAATCCTAAAAGAAATCAAACCTGTTCCCTGGAAGGACATATACAGAAGCTGAAACTCAAATAATTTGGCCACCAAATGAGAAGGGAGCACTCACTGGGGAAGACCCTGAAGTTGGGAAAGATTGAAGGTAACAGAAGAAGGGGATGCCAAAGGATGAGATGGTTAGACAGTGTTACCGATGCAACAAACATTAAATTGAGCAAACTCCAGAGGATGGCAAAAGACAGGAGGGCCTGGCGTGATGTGGTCCGTGGGGTCATGAAGAGTTGGACAACAACAAAAAGCTTGACTCTTGCAGCATTATTGGTAATTTTGGGTTGAGTTTGTTTCCCCCCATTTTTGTCACTGATCATGTGAATACAGTTGTGCTCAATGCCTCATTGTTAAGTCAAACCTAGCAATGCCTATGTGGAACCTATGAGTGCTTTCCCTGAAATCCACAAAGAAATCCACAACTGGTTTCACCTCTTGAACTAGAAGGGCGATTCCCTCCCCTAGAAATTACAAGGAAGTGTGATTTCCCCCATTTTTCTTTACTGAATATTCAACTCATTGTCTATGAAAACTGGTTAGATGCCTTTGTACTCGGTACAGAATATGGTTACATTCTCAGCAATCATCTTTCACCCATGACTAGGCCCTTCCAGTGCGTTGCTGCCAGCTGCTCCGATCTCAACCAAGTGGGTGAGAGCAGAGCAGAAGGATGTACTTCTATCATCTGTGTCTGGTTTCATTCTCTACCATTTTTACCAAGAAGAAGGACAAGGTGGGCTGGCTCAAGTAGCTTAACATTTGCAAACTGCTTACCACATCATATGTGAGGTAAAAATGAACAAAACTGACTAAACTCTTAATAAATTATTGTCTTCAGGACATAAATATATAATTTTATTGTAAATTTGCTCTATCTTCTGGATCCAGGTAATAGCAATGTCCAATAAAACACAATACATGATGCACATCTCTACTAGTTGGACCCCCCCCCCAAAAAAAAGTGCACTCATGTTTATTATGAAGTCACTACTTGTTGCCAACAGGAGAGCTAATCAAAATCCTGTATGCCCCTCTACTCAATCTATCAATGGATATTAGCCAAGGCAAGACAAATGGAGTCTCCATGATTCAAAGCAATACACCTTTGATTGCTGGATGCTGAGGGCAAATAATTGAGCATGACTGTAACATCAATCTGTGCTTGTTGGTTTATCACAACCCATGGCTGGCCATTACCATAATCAGATTATTGGATTAAACAGATTTTCTCTGGCAAAACAATTCTTCTTTCCAGATACTCTGGAAATATTATATTTGTTTCATTACCAATGCTGCTAATTCTTCCTTTTATTGATTCAACTGGTTCACCAATCACCCTCCCACAGTGCAGCCAATCTAATATATAGTTACAAGATGACCCTGTAGTCATCTTGCTAGTAGTTAGTGACATATTTTAAGCATTAAGACAGACAGGAATTTGATTTTTTAAATGTTTCTGGAAACTTACTGTCCTGGATCGTATTTCTTTGGCATAGAGAGGTTTCAAGAATTCTGAGTCTCCTTCCAGCTTTAAACCTTTTTCTGTGATCCTCAGGTTTCCCATTCCATCCTGAAAAACACAAAAAGTCCCCATTAGCTATGATTTTATAGACACCTGATTGTCAAAAAGGCATTTCTTGGAAAAGAACACCATGTAAAACACTGGGAGGCACTGTACAATACAATCACTTGCATTATCCTTTTAACTCATCCTTTGTGAGAAAATTGTGTTTCAAGCAATCTGAAGTCTCCCCCCCCCCTTAACCATTTATTCAGGTGAAAGATGCCCTTTAGCTTCTCATCTAGGGGACAGAGAAAGAGCAAGAGATGACAGGGTGGCATTTAATGTTAACACAAAACCATTCATTGGAACATGTCTAGCTTTCAACATTTATATTGATATTGTCCATTTATGACAAGCACTCAGACAGAGTTGCCATATAGTGGTATCTATAAAATGGACGACTTGCATTTTTGTGCACAAATAAAACAAAGCATTCAGCAAACAGAATTATTTAACTTGGTTTTTCTGCAGAATTAGTTAAAAACTTTATTTAGAATTGTAATTATTCCAGATTTTTCCTCACAAGCAAATAGCTTCAACAAGATGCTATATGGTTATACAGTTTCCATTATCAATATATCTAATAGCCAAGGCGCCCCCCGCGTGCAGATATCTAAATCAGCACATCGGGGGCACATGGGGGGCAGGGAGATTTTCCTGCACATTTGGGGCAATCCCTAGATGCGCAGAAAAATCTAAAAACTGTAAAAAACGATGGGGGGATACTTAAATCCCCCAAAAAGTAAAGGAGCATTCCCTGTACATGCACTTCTATCGCCGTCGCTGGGGAGGGAGGGAGAAAGCTTGGCGGATGGGCCAGCCTCGCTGCCGCCACTGGGGAGGGAGGGCGGAAGGGGAAAGCTTGGTGGGCTGGCCTCGCTGCCACCACTGCTGGGGAGAGAGAGGGGAAGGAGAAAGCTTTGTGGGCCAGTCTCGCCACTGCCACTGGGGGGAAGGAGGGGGGAGAGAGAAGGCTGGGCTCACCTGCTGCCATGTCTCCTGCTTCTGCAGGCCGGGAGCTGTGAGGAATACTCCCCCCCCTGCACGTACCGTGGGCCCTGCCTCTTGTTTCCCCATAATTCTACACTTAAAAAACAAAACCACGTTTTTGAAACACTGGAAAGCATCTTGCCAGAGTCAGAATGAAATTTTTTACAGCTCCCCTCCCCTTCATAGCTTTTTTTGGATTAAACAGAACAATAATGAAAATTCATAATTGACAAGCAGACTATGCCTACATTACAATTCATCTTTAATGTTTGAAAAACATATAGTCTGTTACAGCAGGCACCTTAGTCTAGTGGAAGATGCAATTATGAACAAATAAGTGTGTGGAGGAGGTACAGACAAGAAGTCAAAGATATCATCAAAGAAATGCACAGTGCGATTGTGGTACAATTCTTTGGTTAGGAATCTGAAGCCCTGGATAAAAACAGAAATTCGCATTCCAAATTTTGCTGCATTCACCAGTACTAAAATCCATTACATAGTACTCTAACAGTGTCATCTTGAGGTCAGTGTCCTTTGAAGGGTGTAACTCTACTTAAGACTGACCTGCTGGTCTTTTTATCCAGGCCTATCAATCACTTGTTGAATAAAGTATTTCCTTTTGTCCCTCTTGAAAAAAAAAATCCAGGCCTCTCCATTCTCTAAATATTTATGTATTTTATTTATTTTACAAAATGTATATCCTACCTTTCTGCCCTCACAAGGGCCTTCAAGCCAGCTAATAAGTTAAAACATACATGAAAAAAATCATATGTAAAAACCATTAAAATAACACACACACTCAAACACACATCACCAAAACAATTGAAAACAGAGCTAAAATACATACAAATCCATTAAAACAGCAATTAAAATATCAATCAGGAGGGAGGGAGCAGAACATAAAAGTCTTCACCAATGGCGGAACATGGCAACAGAAGGGAACAGGAAAGTCCCTCTGGGAAGAGAGTTCCACAGTTTTGATGCCATGAATGAGAAGGCCCTCTCCTGGGTTGCCACCTGCCTAATCTCAGAACGCAGAGGCACCCAAAGTAGGGTATCCGAAAATTACCATATGGGTTGAGTGGGTTCATAAGCAAGTAGGCGGTCCTTCAGTTATGTTGGTCCCAAACCATCTAGGGCTTTGACAGTCAAAAGCAAGCACCCTGAATTTTTCCTGGCAACATATTGGTAACTGGCATAGATAGGCTAACTCTGGAGTGATATGATCCTTATGACCCACTCCAGTCAATATCCTGGCTGCAACATTCTGTACCAATTGAAGTTTCTGAACACTTCTCAAGGGCAAAATTAGTGATATAGAAATCTGGGTAGGGATCCAAGATGGCCTCTTGTGCTCTGTGCTAGTAGTTTGCTCCTGCTTCGTATTTTTGCTTCTGTGGTTTAGTTTCCAGTCTTCTATTTAAGAACCATAGGAATGAATCACTGCTGTGGTCCTTATCAACATTTTTTTTGCTCCTTACCAGCAATTTGAACTGAGCTAGCTATAGGCTCATTTTTGTGCTCTGATGTTTCACCCTGGAGGCTGGCCTTGAAGCTGGGTGTCTCAAGTGAGGGAACAACTAAACTAGCTGTTTCTACCAGCTTGTCACTACTGGTCTGTTTTTCTTAGACTGATAGCTGGATCCTGGCAGATATAAATGACATAGATAAAAGGGAAAGCAGACCCTCTATGAACTGTGAGTATGCTTTAAAGACATACGTCTACTTAAATTCACTAATTCTCTTGGGGCGTGGGGCGTGTTCCATGAGTGCAGCTTAACTGAGCTGTTGTGGAGAAAGATTGAGAGATTTTGTGAGCTGGCTGACCTGAGGTTCTTGTGATGAAACAATGAGAAAGAAGGAAAGAAGAGAGAAGGAACACCAGAAGAGGAATGAGGCTGGGATGAGATATTTTAACTAATTTTTAAATTTTCTCAAGTAGGAAACAGTTTGTAGAAACAATAGGTGCAATGGAATAAAATAACAAAACAGAAAGAGCTTTTGTATCCTCCACAAGACACCAGGAATAATGGCTTGTGTCCTCAGAACCACAGCAAGTGGAACAAAGTTTGAGAAGCAGGACTTCCACCCTGCAGGCTCTAAGTACCAAGCTTCAGAAGTCAGGCAGGGTGGGGTCATTCAGTTGGAAGTCAGGGTTCCAGAGGTCAGGTGTGGCGAACTGACCTCCAAAACCAGGATGCTTAGTGCATCAAATTCAGAGAGCTGGGAGATTAGGGGTTAATGCCTCATTGTGAAGCACAATTTGATTGACAGGCTGCCACCTGTGTGCACCCCCCCTTATCTCTGATTGGTCAGCGCAAGTACTCATCTTTGTCATCAGCAAGCATCTGGTGTCAGCCCAGGAGGCATGCACTCTGCCTTTTTGCCTGGAGTTCTGTTCTCAGCCTCTGTCTGTGGCACTTGAAGGGTGTAGGAGATACTGGTGGGCTTGGAACGGCTAACTGAGTTTCACCTGCTGAATCAGGGCTGGAGGGTGCCTGTGGCTCTGCACCAGCTGTTCTCCGTGAATCCTGACAAGCATGCATTTCATTTTCTTCCTGGTCAACTTATGTAGATTCAAGGCTGGCTACATGGGGCTCCTCTTCTCCTATGGAGCCCTCACTATTGCTGAGCCCTGGCTGACCCACGACAGTGCATGCACATTAAGTGCTGTCTAGTCACTCCCAACTTATGGCCCCCCTATGAATTAGTGACCTCCAAAACATTATAAACAGCCTTGCCCAGGCATTGCAAACTGAGGGCCATGGCTTCCTTGATTAAGTCAATCCATTTCAAGTTGAGTCTTCCTAAGGGCAGCGTGGGCACCAAACAAGGAAGGAAGCAAAATACAGCAAGAAAAACACCACAGAAGGTAATTGGAGAAAAACAGACCACCAGTTTTTATTGATTACAGCATTCAGAGCATTTGGCACGATACAAATATCGAGCAACCCAACTGTTGACTGATGAACCCCATCCCAGCCCACATGCTAGAGAAAACCATAAGTGACAAGAAGGTGCCCCCTCTGGCACAATACTCTGTGTGGAACCCTAGCTATCTGGAAGTGGAACCAGGCAACTGACCCCAAGCTAGGCATGTTGCTAAATGACTCAACCCCCAAGTCCCCATAAAGGCTTGAACCCAGGGAGGTGCGCACACAAGTGTAGCCTCCTCACAAAATGGATCCGGCCCAATATCTAGAACCACCTTAAAGCTGTGACAAAGAAATACATATGAACTAAAAACAAAATAATTCAGAACATCTAGAAAAAAGGGGAAGGAGGGAGTGCCTGAGGCAGCGAGAGAAGATTGCCTGGCTTCTGGGCTTTAAATAAGCGAGAGAGTGGGGCTGGGCAGCATGAATGCTCACCCAAGTCTGTCCCCAGCCAGCTAAACCTTGGGGAGGAAACAGTCAAATACCCAGCAAATGGCCAGCAGTCAGCAAGACCCCCCCCCATGCCACCCAGAGGCCTAAAACCACCATGGACCAGCTGAAGCTCCTACAGCAGTACACGTGGCCTCCCTCCTTGTTGGGATCTCAAGCCCTGCGCTCGCAAAAGCAACCACTGGTAAGTCCGCCCAGAATTCCCTATTAATCAATTATGACAAGACTAAAATTTTACTGTTCTCCAAATGATGGAAGCAGCATACTTGGAAAACCAATGGCAGAACCATCACCCAAGTGAAATCCTTTCGGTATCTGGGCATTCTTTTTCACTACAACTTAAAATGTTCCATGCATTGTGACCAAGCCCTTCTCTTGGCTAAGAATAAGCAGTCGGCATTATCCCACTTTCATTACCAAAAAGGTAATCAATTCGTTCCAGCTGCTTTATGGATTTTCCATACCACCATTCTCCCTCAGTTACTTTATGGGATTCCTGTGTGGTTCCAATGCTTCAACCAAAATGTCAAAAAAATCAAAATGTCTTTTCTACGTCATATTTTAGGCATCCCCAACTCGGTGCGCTATTTCACCCTATGTGCTGAATTGGGCCTTCACAGAGTAGAATCT